TGGGAGGCAATCAAAGACTGTGACAATAGCCTGTGTGATTTGGGGAGTCTCTTGGACCACCGTGGCCAACAACTCAAAGGAAGGCCTGACTGGCATTGTTTCTTGTTATGTACAGCCTTCAGCTGTATTCACGGACTCATGTAGGGATAGTGTATGTGTAAGTTTTCAGTAGGTTTTTGGACTAATACAATTACCTCTTTTTTTTTTTTTAATACTAGCTAAGCACTATTTATGTCTCCCCTTTCTCTCCCTGTCTTATCCTCCTTCCCCACCCTTCCCATTTAAAGTGTCCCCATTTCTCCCTTGGTAATTTTTGGATGCTGTAGTCCTGCCTCCTTTGAGCTCCTTCTTCCCCTTTATTCCCATAGGCCTTTTTATAGCTAGCCCTCCTTCTCCCCCTGCTTTAACCAGACTCTCTCGGGTTCCTTGTTTCCCTTTACCTCCCTGGTTTCCTTCTATTTTCCTGGTTCCTACAGTTACATCAGGATATGAACTCATGTATAAGGATTTGATGCTAGGATCCACAAATGAGGGAGAACATATGTCTTTGTTTTTATGAGTCTGTGTTACTTCACTTAGTATAACAGTTTCTAGATCCATCCATTGCAAATTTTATTATTTCATCCTTCTTTACTGCTGGAACTCCATTGTGTTAATGTACCACATTTTCATTAACTACTCATCAGTTGAGGGGAACTTAGGTTGTTTCCATCTCTTAGATATTGTGAAAAGAGCAGCAACAAACATGGTTGTACAAGTATCTCTGAAATAGGATGAGTCCTTTGGGTATATGCCAAGGAGCAGTATAACCGGGTCATATGGTAGGTTCATTTTTTGTTTTTTAAGATTTCTCCACACTGCTTTCCATAGGGGTTGCACAAGTTTGCAATTCCATCAGCAGTGAATGAGCATTCCCCTTTCTCCACATCCTCGCCAGCATTTGGTATCGTTTGTTCTCTTCATCTTTCCTAGTTTGACTGGGGTAAGTATTTTCCTAATTACTAATGATGTTTAACACTTTTTAAGATGTTTCTTAGCCATCGTTATTTCTCCCTTTGAGAACTCTCTGTTTAGATCTTTAGCCCATCGTTTAATTGGATTATTTGTTTTCTTGATTCTTTGTTTTTTGAGTTCTTTGTATATTCTGGATGTTAAACCTCTGTCAGATGTGTCACTGGTGAAGATTTTTTTCCCACTCTGTGGGTTTTCTCTTTAGTTTCTTGATTTTTTTTTAAATTTTACTTTTAAGTTTAATGAGGTCCCACTTGTTGATTGTTGACCTTAATTCCTGAGCAACTGGTGTCTGATTTAGAAAGTCCTTTCCTACACTTATATCTCATAGGTTTCTGCCAGTGTTTTCTTCCAGTTTCACATTGGGGCCTTTGATTCATTTGGAGTTGACTTCTGTACAAGGTGAAAGATAAGGATCTAGTTTCATTCTTCTACAGGTGGAGATCCAGTTTTGTCAACATCATTTATTGAAGATGCTGTCTTTCCTCCATTGTGTGTTCTTGGCACCTCTGTCAAATATAGGTGGCTCAAATTGCATGTACCTGGGTTTTGGTCTTCAATGATGTTCCATTGATCCATGTGTCTATTTTTGTGCCAGTACCACAATGTTTTTATGACTATAGCTCTGTAGTATACTTTGAAATCTGGTATAGTAATCTCCACAGTGTTGCTCTCTGTGCTCAGGGTTGCTTTGGCTATCCGGGGTCTTTGTGCTTCCATATGAATTAAGGATGGATTTTTTTCTAATTCTGTGAAGTATGTCATGGGGATTTTGATTGCCATTGCATTGAAACTGTATATTGCTTTTGGTAGGATGGTCATTTTCACAATATTAATTCTTCCAATCCATGAGCATGGGAGGTCCTTCCATCTCCTGGTGTCTTCCTCAATCACTTTAAAGATTTAAAATTTTCATTGTAAAGATCTTTGATGTCTTTGGTCAGGTTTACCCCAAGATATTTTTTTTGTGTGTGTGTGGCTATTGTAAATGGGACGGTTTCCCTGTACGCTTTCTTCAGTTGCTTGTTATTGGTATATAGAAAGGCTACTGATTTTTGTAGATTGGTTTTATAACCTGCCACTTTACTGAAAGTGTTGATCCATTCTAGGAGTTTTTTGGTTGAATTTTTGAGATTTCTTAGGTATAGTCTCATATCATCTGCAAAAAGTGATAGTTTGACCTCTTCTTTTCCAATTAGTACTCTTTTAATTTCCTTCTCTTGTCTTATTGCTCTAGCGAGAGTCTCAAGCACTATATTGAAAAGGAGTGGAGATGAGATTCTTTCAATTTTTTATATTTGTTGAGATTTGTTTTATAACCCAGTTGTGTGGCTAGTTTTTGAGAAAATTCCATGGGGTGCTGCATAGAAAGTGTATTCTTTGGTGTTTGGGTGGACTATTTGGAAGATGTCTGTCAGGTCCATTTGATGAATGGTATTATTGAATTCAGATGTCACTCTGTTTATTCTGTGTCCAGTTGACCTGTCTAATGGGGACAGTGGGGTATTGAAGTCTCCTACTATCACTGAGTTGGGGTTAATCTGTGTCTTAAAGTCCTGTAGTATTGTTTTTATGAATTTGGGTGCACCAGAGTTTGGTGCACATATGTTCAGGATCGTAATATCTTCTTGGTTAATTGTTCCATTGATCAGAATGAAGTGACCCTCTCTATCTCTTCTGATTAGTTTTAGTCTGAAGTCTATTTTGTCAGATATTAGAATTGCAACCCCTGCTTGTTTCTTAGTGCCAGTTGCTTGGAATATTCTTTTCTACCCTTTCTTAAGGTAGGGCCTGTCCTTGAAGGTGAGATGGGTTTCTTGCAGACAACAAAAAGATGGATTTTGTTTCTTAATCCTTTCAACTAGCCTGTGTCTTTTGACTGGGGAGTTCAGTCCATTGATATTTAAAGTTATTATTGAAAGATGTGTATTGATTGCCGTCATTTTGATTACTGTTGTATTCTTTGTCTAATTTTGTGTTTTCACAACTATTCCTCCATTTAGTTTCTTTCTGTTGCCCCTGGGGTATAGTTGTTCCTTTCTCTGTTGTTTGTATTGCTTCAAGTATTCTTTGAAGGGCTGATTTTGTGGATGTGTATTCTTTCAGCCTATTCATGTTGTGGAAGATTTTTCTTTCCCCTTCAACTATAATAGACATTTTTGCTGGGCAAAGTATTCAGGATTGGCGTCTATGGTCATTTAGAACTGGAAGTACCTTGGTCCAGGCTCTTCTGGCTTTCGTAGTTGACACTGGTAAGTAAGCTGTAATTCTGATGCATTTTCCTTTGTATGTGACTTGTTGTTTTTCTTTTCAGCTTCAGTATTCTCTGTGTTCTGTACATTTAGTGTTTTTACTGTGATGTGCTGTGAGGAGTTTCTTTTCTGGTCCTGACTATTTGGTGTTCTATGTGCTTCCTGTATTTGTATGGGGATGTCTTTCCTTAATTTTGGGAAATTCCCTTCAATCCTGTTTAAGATCTGGTCAGTAGTGTTAACCTGAAATTGGGTCTTTTCATGGTGTCCCACATCCCCTGCATTTTCCAGTCCTGTGTTTTTAAAATTTTTTGAGTGGTCCAGTTCTTCAATTTTATCCTCCAGTATTGGTATTCTCTTTTTCTTTCATTCATTCATTCATTCATTCATTCATTCATTCATTCATTTATTCATACATTCATTCTAGTGGTGAGGCTTTCTCCTTTTGTTTCAAATTGGCTTATTGAGTTTTTCACTTCCTTCTTTATTTCAGCCTGGTTTTCTTCAATGTTTCTATCTTTTTTTGTGAATTCAGTCAGAAGTTTATCCCTATATTCTTTTAGCTCTTTGATTTGTGTGCTCCTTAAATTCATTGAATTCCTTGATCATGTTTATGATTGTTCTTTTAAATTCTGTGTCCTGAGTTATCTCTAAGGAGTTCTCCTTGTAGAACTCTTCTATAGGATTGGTGGAGTTTGGTGGGAACATGCTCTTTTGGTTTTCTATATTATTATTTTTCCATTGTGATTTTGGCATGTGGATTTCTTTTGTTTGTGATTCTGATATGAAAATCAAGTATTCTTTTGTTGAGTTGAAGTTTGCTTCTGTTTGTATTATTGTGTGCCTTGGTTGTTTTCTTGTTGGGTATGTAAAGCTGGTCAGTCTAGGTTTCAGGTTCTCTCAGATTTTATTTTGGAGGGAATTGATAGCTTCAGATCAGCTACTCAGGAGCTTCCACAGACGCCGAAGTCAGTCTCCAGTCAGGTATACTCAGGCTTCCTTCTAACACTTGGACCCCTACTAGCAGGTACTCAGGGCAGATTTGGGAAGTTCATTAAGGGGAGGTTCGATTTTGGCACTTTCAGGCAGTCTACTGAGATCTCAGACCCTACTGTAGGGCAGAGAGGTCTAGCCCTGGCAAAGTGAGAGTGGCCTCATGTGGTCACTATTAGGGAGTTGGGCATGGTGGGATTTGGGAAGGATCACCACCATAAGGAGGCCAGATCCAGGCACTCTCAGGCAGTATACTAATATCTCAGCCCTTACTATAGAGCAGAGAGGTCTGCCCCTGGCAAAGTGGGAGGGGCCTCATGTAATCCCAATTAGTGGATTAGGCATGGCACGATTTGGGGAAGCTAACCCCCACTGGGAGGCCAGATCCAGGCACTCTGGCAGTCTGCTAAGGTCTCAACCCCTACACCAGGCAGAGGCCAGATTAGGCCCTCTCAGGCCATCTGCTAAGGACTCAGCTGCTGTCAGTCTTTACTCACAGCTCAGGTGTCATATTCAAACCTTAGACTCTATGCTTCCCTTGTCACTGTTGTGATCACGATCCTTTTTTTTTTTTTTTGGTCTTTTTCTGAGACAGAGTCTCCCTGTAGCCACAGCTGTCCTGGAACTCGCTGTGTAGACCAGGCTGCCCTTGAACTCACAGAGATCCACCTGTCTCTGCCTCCCGAGTGCTGGGATTAAAGGCCTGCCCCACCACACCCGGCTCACAGTCATTTTTTAATGCAGGGACATTCAGGAGACACAGATGAAGTATCTGTCGGAATGGGACCAGTGGAAGCGGTACAGCAGCAAGTCTTGGAAGAGATTCCTGGAGAAGGCTCGCGAGATGGCCACCCACCTGGAGCTGTGGCGCAAGGACATCCGCAGCATCGAAGGTAGCGAGTGCCCACCATGCTCCGCGGGTGCCCACCCTGTTCCGTGGCCTCCCCTTCTGGCACTTCTGGGTCTGGGGAAACTGCAGTTTTGTTTACACTAGGCTGAAGCTCAAGTGGAGGAGTTCCTTCTGAGATGAGCATCTGTGTTAGTCACTCTTCTCACTGTGGTGACCAAACCCGGCAGAAGCACTTCAGGAAAGCAGGGTTATTCCAGCTCACAGTTCCAGGGCACAGTCCACCACGGAGGGGCCGGGATGGCTTCAGGAGCAGTAAGGCAGCTGATCACATGGCATCGCAGTCAGGAAGCAGAGAAATGCAGGCTGCTGCTCAGCTCTCTTTCTCCTTCTGCTTGGCCTGGGACCCACAGCCTCTGGGATGGTGCTGTCTACATTCAGATTGGGTCCTCCTCCTCACTTAGAGAGCTCTGTAAGCCCCCTCACAGACATTCCCAGAGGTGTCTCCAATCAAGCTGACAACTAAGATTAACCATCTGAAGTGTAAATAATGACACACACTTAGCCCTAACAGACTCTGTACCCACATCATCTGTGTCATAGCAGAGTGGGGGCAGGGGAGATGTCTGGTGTCATCACATGCTTCCTACTGTGCAACAGAATAACTTACAAGCGTTGCCCCCCCAGCTGCTGAAATGGAAGCTTCATAAACTTTGTAAGAACCTGGCAGGATAGTGGAAAGGGTGGCTCTTCCTGGAGATGTGGCTCAGCCATTAAAACCACTTATTGTTCTTGAGAAAGACCTGAGTCCAGTTCCCAGCACCCAAGTCGGGTGGCTCACAACCACCTATAACTCCAGCTCCAGAGGATCTGACTCCTTCTTCCATGGGCACCTACACTCACGTTGGCATACCCACACAGAGACACACTTATACACATAATTAAAAATAAAATAGCTGGGTGTGATGGTATATGCCTTTAGCCCAGCATACAGGAGGCAGAGGCAGTTGAGTCTCTGTGAGATCAAGGCCAGCCTGGTCTACGTAGTGAGTTCCAGGTCCACTGGGGCTACAGGGAGACCCTGTCAAAAAACAAAAATCTCTCGAACCAAAAAATGACTTTTAAAAATATATCACTAGTAATTTATTCAATGTCTTCCCTTTAAAAAATTTTATTTAGCCGGGTGTGGTGGCGCATGCCTTTAATCCCAGCACTTGGGAGGCCAAGGCTGGCGGATCTCTGTGTATTCAAGTCCAGCTTGGTCTACATAGTGAGTTCCAGGCCAGCTGGGGCTACAGGGAGACCCTGTCTCAAAAAGGTCAAAAAATCTTTTTAATTTACTTATTTTTATTTTATGCATATGAGTGTTTTGCCTGAATGTCTGTAAGTTTACCAAGTGCATATCAATGCAGCAGAGGCCAGAAGACGGCATCAGATCCCCTGGAACTGGAGTTACAGACAGTTGTTAGCTGCCATATGGGTGCTGGGAACCGAGCACAGGTTCTCTGGAAGAGCAAGCAGTGCTCTTAACCTCTGAACCATCTCTCTAGCCCCTCTAAACTTATTACTGAGGGATCTCATAAACTCATTTAAAATTTCAACCAAAGTGAGAGTTTTCCTCTGGAAAACTAAGCATGGTATGCTTTGAGCAAAATAATACAAGCAAGTCTTCACTGAGCATCAACAATGTGTTTGGCATTTTACTCCTTCCTATTTTCTGTTAGTCCTCACAAGAACCTTTCATGTGCACACTTTACCATTTGCCTGGCACAGAGAGGTTAAGACATTTGCCTAAGTGCACTCAGCTAGGATGAGGCAGGGCCAGGCTTTGAAGGCAGCCAGCCTCACAGGCCAAGTGCTGTGTTCTTAATGTACAATGACCCCCATAAATGCATGTCTTTGAACACTTGGTCTCTTGACTAGAGGCAGACCTCGAAGAGGGGCCTAACTAGAAGAAATGGGCTGCTAGTTTCTTAGCACCGCCCCACTTCCTGTCTGCCCTCTGACATTTGATCAGCCATCTCACCCACTTGAGGCCATACCTTCCCTCCTGGCCCCCATGGACGTATCCCTTCAAACTATGAGTCCAAACAAACCCTTCTTCTTTAAGTTGCTTCTTGTCAGGTATTTGACCACAGTAACAAGAAAAGTAACCATTACACTGTGCCCAGCTTCCCAAAGCAGGCAATCAATACTGTTGAGGCAACCTGATATTCCTATAAGGAAATATAACTACAAAGCCCTTCCTCACCTCCCACTGCTCTCAAGATTAGTTCAGAAGTGGCCATGAATCTACATGTGAAGAGTTAACTCACTGCAAAGCAGGACTTCAAAGTGAAAAACAGGGCTGGCAAGATGGCTTAGCGGGTAAAGGTGCTTGCTGCCAAGTCTTACCACCTGAGTTTGATCCCTGGGACCCACAAGGTGGAAGGAGAGAACCAACTCCTCAACTTGTCCTCTCACCTACACACACACTTGTGTATGTGGTGCTTGTGCATGCGGTGCTTGTGCATGCACAGACACACACACACACACACACACACACACACACACACCAGCAACCCTCCCACTTCAGCCTTCTGTGGCTGATGGAATCTACAGTGTGTAGCCAGTCAGTGTTCTCCCTCGGTGACGTCCAGTTTTTCCCTTTTTCCAGGGAAATTTGGCACTGGGATCCAGTCCTACTTCTCTTTCTTGCGGTTCCTGGTGTTGCTGAACTTGGTGATCTTTCTGATCATCTTTATGTTGGTTTTGCTTCCAATCTTGCTCACTAAGTACAAGATCACCAACAGCACCTTCGTGCTCATTCCGCTCAAAGACATGGGTGAGTTTAAGGGCTGCTCTACAGTGATCTTGTTTTCACAGACTTTCCTAGCTCTAGTGCTTCCTTTCCTGGGAATCTTGGCTCTCAGTCTTAGGTGACCGTGTTAGTCAGGAATGGTTAGTTTCTGCTGCAGAAACAAATTTCCCTTGTCCTCAGTGCCAAACAACTGCAAAGGCTTCTTACTTGTAGTCTGTGTAATTCATAGCCTGATGATCTTCACTAGGTAGCCCTAGCTGGTGGGTAGCCTTGTCACTGTGACCCCAGGAAACAGCCACCACAACAAATGTGTGCTGACTCCTGACAGGTCTGTCTGGGGATGACACACAAACACATTTCTACTCTATTTCACTGACTCCTCCTGAGTTCAGGACATGCGAGAAGAGTTTGAAGGGTAGGTAAGTGGGATATTTAGCAAATCTATTAGAATCTACTCCCACTGGGAGTTCCTTTCAAGACCATTATCTCTGATTAAGGGTAATGCCTGAGGCTGACATTAATTCAGCATCAGTCATGTACCAGACTATTCTAAGTGCAAGGCTGTCTTTGTATTCTCAACAAAGATCGCATCTTCTAGGGATCCCATTGCTCAAACTGGGAAGGTTTCAGTATCCCACAGACAGTTGCTGTCTGTCTCTAAGCCTAGGCTAGGAACTGGGGTCAGTGAAAGAGCCATCTAGGTTTAAGCCCAAAGTCCTATTGCCCTCTTCTCATATAACTCCTTCCCTCAGAAGAACCTGGAGAATTACCCCCTCCCCGAGCCCTACACATTCCTCTTCCTCATCTTTGTTGGCAGTTTAATTCTGTGACATGTAAAATTCAAATAGCCTGGCACTTCTGATTTGAGTGAGTGCCTGCTTTCTGCCTCGTGGGCTTTCTTGTTTGCTAATACGTCCATTCTCAGAGATGGGTTCCCTGATTAGATTTCCAGCCCTCCCTCTGCTATTTGATTAACCTTCCAGAGCCTTCTGAACCTGCCACCTTCTCTAGTGAACTGTACCTGTTTAAATAATGAGATAATTATTTCATTATGTGAATATCTCACTATTGAAGACCTAACTCATTTAAAGACTAGTAAATACTAGCTTGGCATAATGGTGCATAGTGGTACATGCCTACACTCCCAGCCCTCAGGCTGCTGAAGTAGGAGGATCACAAGTTTGAAGCTAGTCTGATGCCATGACCAGAACTTGTCTCTGAAAAGCAGAACAAAACAATAAAATAAAATAAAATAAAATAAAATAAAATAAACCCAACGAAACCAAAGAGATATATATCCCCAAATTGTTTAGGGAAAATAGTAAAGGAAATGCTAAAAACAGAAGCAGAAGAAAACAGAATAGAAGGAAAAGACACATTGGGGTTTAGGAGTAGAAAAGTAGAAAATTACAAATTCACCAATATACCTATTAACAAATAGCAGCTTTGTGGCATCTGAGTATATTAGTACAAACTTATGTGCACAAATTACAATAGACAGGTTATCAACCCTGTGAGACTCTCTCCAACACGTGTTCTTGTTTTCATTTCTTGCAGATACACAATGCACACTCTATCCAATAAGTAGTTCTGGGCTCATTTACTTTTACAGTTACGTCATAGACTTGCTTTCTGGCACTGTAAGTATTTTAACTCAGTCCTTTGGATGCTTCACACTCTGCAAGTCAGTTAGACATCAGTGTCCTGAACAGGGCCACCGTGATATGTGCCTGCAATCCTAGCACCTGGGAGGTGGACACAAGAGGATTGCCAGGCCAGCCTGGGCTACATAGTAAGACCCTGTCTCAAAACAAAACAATAACAAAAAACAAAAAAAACACTATCATTCTGATTCAAAGGTCAAGAGCCAAATGCTACTGCTGACACGTGAGCAGTAGAAGAAATGGGGTTTGCAGTGAACTCACCCACAAGCCCTGTGCTCACCCACCGACCTTCAGCTAGAATGTTCTGGAAATACAGTGTGCTACTTCCTCATATTTTCCTGGTCTCTGTCACCATCATGCTGATCTCGACTTGCAGACATGGGATTGACAGCATGAAGATGCTCAACTGGTGAAGTCAGTGGAAATATTCCAAAACCTGAAAAGATGTGAAGTCTAAGACCCTTCTAGTTCCAAGCACTTCAGATAGAGGAGACAAAGGCCACAGATTTACCTGCCTTTCTGGAAGTTACTGATGTTAACATGCCATGTTATAGAATGGGTGCTTTTCTGAATAGATAAGTAAAAAACTTGAATTTATCCATTGCATTTAATTTTGAAAACTATGCTTTTACATCTCCAAAATCAAATTTTCCTCAAAACAACCCAGAAACTATTGGGTGTGGCAGTCAACTGCCAGATATGCAAATGAGAAAATGGAAGCTATGCAAAATTCCTCCTCCTGCTCCTCATCTTCCCTTCTCCCCTCCCTCCTCCTCCTCCTCCTCCCCTTCCTTTCGGTTTTCCAAGACAGAAGCTCACTGTATAGCCCTCCTTCTTTAGGTTACATCCCACGGGGGACATTTCTGTTTGTTAGTCTGTTCACATTATAACCTTGTTCCTTATGGGAAAAATTTACAGGACAGTTAGTGCCACAAGATCACAGATACCCAGGATAGGAAGGCATGCTTCACCACGCTCTGCCCAAAAGAACTCTCTGTGATGTTTGTGGAGAGTAGCCTGGATCAGCTATGCACAGGGCCAGAGCTGTGGGCTTTACTGTACTTGAGATGTGGTTCCCATGTACTTGAGATGTGGTTCCCATGACAGAAAGACTGAGTTTAATTTTATTGCTGTTAGTTTAAATAGACCCAAGAGGGAATAAAGGGGCTAGGGACAAGGGCCACCAGCTTGACTTCTCTGAAATGAATTAAATTAGGCTCATTCTGAGGGCAGGGAAACTCTTACCCAGGCCCTATGGACTTTGGGCCCTGTGATGTCTCTTCACTCTGAGGGCGAGGTTGACACCTGTGCTATCAACCTGGAGCAATGTTGAAAGGATTTCATAGAATTGGATTTTTCTGCCAGGTATTCAACCTTTGTGTGCCCAACGTTTCAAAGAGTTGAAGACGAACAGTATGGGGTCTTCTCTTCTACATTTGTTTCTATTTAAAATTTTTCTTAATTACTCAGATAATGTCAGAATACATGGTTGTCATGAAAAAACAGATTTTATTTATTTTTAAAATATTTTATTCATTATTTTTATTTTATGTATATGTGTGTATTGCCTGCATTTAGGTAAATGCACCATGTCATGCAATGCCCTCGGAGATCAGAAGAGGCTGTCGGATCCCCTGGGACTGGAGTTACAGATAGTTGTTAGCTGCCATGTGGGTGCTGGGATTCAAACCCGGGTCTTCTGCAAGAACAACCAGTGTTCTTAACCTCTAAGCCATCTCTCCAGCCCCCAGATTTTATTTTTAAACAGGGTCTGTATAACTCAGAATGGCCTTGAACTTATAAGCATTTTTATGTTTAGCTCTAACATTTAGATCTTTGAAATATTTTAAGCTGATTTTATATGTGATTTGAGGTCAGAAGCCAGCTTCATTTCTTTACCTGTGGCTCTCTGAGTGGCTTGGGGTAGTTCTCCCTGCTGAAAACTTAAGTATAGATGTTTCGGTTGATTTCTGGATCCTCAGTTCTGTTCCTTTGAGATAAGTGTCTGTTTTGGTTTTTTGTTTGTTTGTTTGTTTGAGACAGGGTCTCACTATGTACCCCTTCTCTGGCCTGAAACTTGTTATATAGACCAGGCTGGCCTTGAACTCACAGAGATTGACCTGCCTCTGCTCCCTGAGTGCTGGAATTAAAGGCGTGCCCCACCATACCCAGCACTCAGTAGGTATTTTTGATGATCAGGCTTTAGCAGTAGCTCCTTCCCCACACACTAAAGGCGCAGCCTATGTACCTCGAGAGCTATTCTGGTATGTAGGGATACAGGGATGCACAAGGATACAACAGTGAGTGTTCCTCGAGGCAGGAATGGCTCTTTTGGTGCCTGCCTGAACTGTCCTTGGCTTTGTTTCAGGGCTTCCTGGAGGAGACCAGCCTTTTTTATGGACACTACACTATTGATGGTGTGAAATTTAAAAACTTCACCTATGATCTGCCCCTGGCTTATTTGGTAAGCACAATTGCCTACCTCGCCCTGAGCCTCCTTTGGATAGTGAAAAGGTGAGTCTATTTTGCTGTCCCTCTCTGTGACTACCTTTTGTGTTAGTTATTTTTCTCATTGTTGGGACCAAATACTGACAAGAACTCAAGAGCAGGAAGCTTTATTTTGAATCATGGTTTCAGGAAATTTCAGTCCCTCACAGTGGGGAAGGCGGGGCAGTGAGAGTGTGTGGCAGAGGCTTGTTCACACAATCCTGAATCAGGAAGTCGGGAACACACACTAGAATCAAGGGCCTGGCCCTATGACCAACATTTGTACTCTAGTACTACCTCTAAAGGTTCTACAACCTTCCTCAGATTTTGCTACCCATGCCAACTTGTGGGGGCATTTCAAACTGATAGAGGCCTTGATGGCTAGAGTCTCTTATAGCTCTGTGGGCTCTGGAAGCCGTGGCCTGGAGGACGAGGAGAGCCCAGGGAAGGACTGTGAGTGCTTCAGCTGAGACCAGGCAGAACTAGGAGTCAGAGCTGGCAGCTGAAGCCACCAGTGGTGCACACCCACCAGCAGTGCACACCCACCAGCAGTGCACATCCCCCAGAAGTTCACATCCCACCAGCGGTGCACACCCACCAGCAGTGCACATCCCCCAGAAGTTCACATCCCACCAGCCGTGCACATCCCACATCCCCACAGACTAAGCCTTTGCTTTGGAATGTGTGTGAACTACAACTCCGAGGTCACAGGTTCAGGAATCCTTTGAAGGCTTTGTTGGTTCTTATTCACTCATACCTGATCCTTCGGTATGTTATGGGCAAGAGACTGTGGTGAGCCTCTAATGATTTCTGTCCAGTCCTCGGGTTAGGGTCATGTCGTAGTGTCTGTAGGAACTGCCCTCAAAGGCTCATGTGTTGAAGGCTTAGTGGTTCTTCTGGGAGGTGACTGGCTCGTGAGGGTGCTAATTTCAGTGGAATAATCCATTGATGAGCTCATAGCCGAATGGCTGTTAAGGGGCGGAGCCTGGTTGGAGGAAGTAGGTCACTGGGGGTGTGACTCTGAAGTCACTTTTTCCCCACTCCCTCCCTGTCTCTCTACTTCCTGGTAATCAGGCAGTGTTTCCCTCTCCCTCTCTCTACATTGTGGTACTGTGATGCTCCTGTTCATCACCTCAGGCCCACAGCAATGGAACCAGCAAACCATGTACTAAGCTCTCTGGAACTGTGTGCCAAGTAACCTTTTCCTCTTTTAAGCTGTTTCTCTCATTTCACAGTGATGAAAAGTCTGATATAGGTCATAGGGTAACATGGCCTTTCCCTGTGACTTTGTGGGAGAACAATTCTGAAGAAAGAATACTAAAGGGGAATACTAAATTTCACCAACAACCATCCCACAGAACAAGGGCACTCATACAGCAGAAGCTGTGTTTGTGGACACCACAAGAGACCTACTGAATTAAAGCTCTGGACCAGGCATGGTAGCACATGCCTGTTATCCCAGCCTGGAATCTAGCTCAGTGATTGACCTGGCATAGGAGAGGCTTTGGGTTTAATTCCCAGTATTGCAATCAATCATCAGTCAATCAATCAATTCCTGACTATGAAATCATTGGGAGTCTGCATGCATTTGATAAATCACCTTGAGTAGTTTTAATCTATGTGCTGTGACTCTCTACAATACACCTGACTGCAATAATTCCTTCATATCTGTGATCCCTAAGCTCCCTAGATAGGGCTTCTTAAACTTTTCTGCTTGTGACTTCTTTTTACCTGAGAAGTTTTTGTATGACCTAGGTATGCAGATATATAAAATAGGTATACAAATCAGACATTTACTACAAATAACTCATAAAGGAATTCACTTTTAAAAAAAAATCTTTGGTACACATTATTAAGGACAGAAGAAAACTTGCATGCTATTCAGATGGATTGCTTATTTATTTTTTGTATATTTTTATTGAGTTTTTGTGTATTTCATATACAACATCGTAATCATCTTTATATGCCCTCCCCCATCCACACCTTCCCATAGTCGCACACACACACTGGATTTCATGCATTCTGTCATTTATGTTAAGGCCTCTCGAGTCAAGTTAGTGTATCCAGACATCCCTCAGTGCAAGTTCATCTACTGGGGTCTAATCAGCCTATCTACAATCGTTGCCTTAAAGAAGATCAGCTCTCCCTCACCCAGCAGTAATCAGTAGCCAATAGTTCTTCAGCTAAGATTGGGGCCTGCTGCCCATTTCCCCAGTTCTATGCTGAGTTTTTGTCTGCTTGAGTTTGCATGGGTCTTGTGCATGCTGACACCATTACTGTAGGTTTATATGAGCAATGTCCCAGGAGCCTGTAAGACTTTGTTACCATATGGTTATGCACCTCCTCCCCTGGCTTTTACAGTCTTTCTGCCCCCTCTTCCACAATGGTCCCTGAGCCCTGGGTGGGTGAAATTTAATAAAGGAGTTCTATCCATGAATCCACACTCTGCAGACTTATATTCTCTACTCTGGCCATTTGTGTTCATCGCCCTCTATTGCATGAGGGAGCTTCATTGTTGAGAGTTGAGAGATGCATTAATGTTCTCTCTACCCCTTGTTCCACTATGTTCTATGAGCCTTAGGTGTAGCGGTTCCATTGTAGATGTGTCACTTAGGGTTGGGCATCTCACAGACACTTAATCTTTGTGTGTGACCAGTTGTGGAACTCTGTAATAATCTCTGTCTATTGCAAAAGAAGCTTCTTTGATGAGTGGCGACTGGCGTATTTGTCTGTAAATACAAGGATCCATATTTAGCACATAGTAAGAAATTACATTTGTCTGGGAATGTGACAGTCATAGGGTTTTCTCTAAGATCTATGACCTCTCCGTGTACATTTGGCTAGGTTTACAGTATCACATATTGAGTTCCTCCCATTAAGTGGGTTTTAAGTCCAATTAGGTAGATGTTGATTATCCCTAAGATAAAAGTGCCACTATTGCCCCAATATAGTTTGCTGTGCTGGTCACTGTTGTGGTTATTAGGCCTTAAAGCTGGGGTTGGACCACCAATCGATGCTCTCCCTTTGTTTATTTTTATAAAATTAATTGTAGCTAAGTGTTTGAGACTTCAGGACATAAAGGATGGCAAGGTCAATTGATATTTTGACTTTATAATCCATAGTTCCAAGAGCACTGCTTCACATAAATACACAGTACAAAATGGCAAAAAGCTGTTCAGGGCCATTTCAGAAGTGACTGGAAATTGTATTCTAAGCCCAAGCAAAAATTCACTTAGTGAGGTTTTAGGAAACCCAAACCAACAACTCAAACAGCAGTTTTTGAAATCAGACATCCTAGTAAGGTGCCTCATCAGATAAAAGCCTTCCCACCTAAGCATAATAACCTGAGTTTGACCCCTGGAACCCACACAGGACAGCCAGATTCAGTGGCACACATCTGTAATTCTGGCCTCCTGCAGCAAGATGGGAGGTAGAGACAGGAAAGTCGGCTGTAGCCAAGGGCCAGCTAGCCTGGAGAATGCAGCGCGGCAGAAACGAGAGGGCCCTGCCTGAGCAAGGTGGAGGAGAGAACTCACTCCCCAGAAGCTGTCCACATGCGTGCTGTGACACATGTACACCTGCATTCAAGCACATACTACTAATAGAAAATAAAACAGTAAGACCAAAAATTCTACCACATAAATAAAATAATTGCAGGGAAGGTAATTTTTGTTGAGGATGTTAAAGGGACCAGTTTGAAATAGGAGCTATAACCTTAGAGAGGTAGGGCATGACAGAGTGGATATTGGACCTAAAACCTGAAGCATGGTGTTAGTTTTTGTTACTGTGACAAGATACCTGAGGCAATCAACTTTAAAGAAGAAAGGGTCTATTTGACACATAGTTTCAGAGATTTATTCCATCCTGTTGCTTGGGCAGCAGAATACATCACATGCACAAGTAGAAGAGATCTTGCACCACAGAGAAGCCAGGGAGCAAAGAGGAAAAAAGGAAAGGACTGAGGTCCCAATATTTCTTTCAAGAGTACACGCCTGATGACCCAACTTCCTCCCATCATTAAGGGTCTGTAAGCTCCCAGTAGAACAATGGACCCAGCCTTCAAGATGTGGGTCTATGGGAGACTCCACATCCCAAAAGTAACTTGGGAAGGAGCAAACCACAGGGAAAGTCGGGGAGGAAACCATCCCTAGAGAAAACTCTGGAAACTGCCAAGTGCAGAGGCCCTGGGGCAGGGCAGAGACTTGCAGGTGTGTGGAAAGAAAAGAAAGCCATTGCAGGTACCGCTGAGTGGGCACTGAGGGGCAAGAGCAGCCCTAGACCCCGTGGCATCTGTAGGCAGTGTTATTACACCTGCGAGAGAAGTTATTGGATGGATAAAAGAAAATGGTTTTCAACAGTGAGGTACTTGCTAATCTGCCACAAATATTTAGAAGGAACTTAACCATGTCAGAACGAGCCAACAATGCAGCCATGCCCAACTTCGTAGGTCCCAGACAGGCCCATTTGTTGTATTCTGCTGCTCTTATCAGAAGGATCCTTGTGTGTTGGGGTTAGGTCGGTGGAAGGGTTCAAATCCAACCTGATTCGGAGTGAGGAGCACTTTCAGAGTTACTGTAACAAGATCTTCGCGGGCTGGGACTTCTGCATCACCAACCGCAGCGTGGCAGAGCTCAAGCACAGCAGCTTGCGGTACGAGCTCCGAGTGAGTGCTGCCGGTGCCCGGCTTCCCCTGGGTGGGTCCTCAGCCACGAGGCCAGGCTTGGGCAGCTGAGGTTGTGGCTTGCACAGGATCTGGGTGGGAGTGGGAAGGGCATTTTGTGTCTGCAAGCATCCCTTTTGTTGTTTTTAAGAGGTTGTGGTAGCAAACAGCTTATCAGTTGATCACCTTGACCTGAAGCAACCTTGCTGGTGACCTGGGACTGGAAAGGGAGGTGGGTGCAGGGGGCTGGAGCAGGTGGTGTCTTAACTCACCCCCTTCTGTCTTACGCTGTTACTATACTATCCAATCGAAGCTGTTGTAAGCATTACTTACACTGGAAAAATGAGACAGAGGGAATGCTGGGATAATAAAAGGGATTCAAGAGAACTTAAAAATAACAGGAAAACTTCCCAATTAATAGAGAGAGAAGAAATGAATAGCATGTTGGTCAAACCCAGCAGAAAGAAAGAAGACGATATAAAATCAAAAGCTTAATGAAGTAAGGTAGATAGGATTGAATCAAACCCATTATTCATCACAGTAAATGTGAACCAATGAAATTATCCTGTTAAAACAGAGACCAAGGGCTGGAGTGATGGTTCAGTGGTTAAGAGCACTGGCTGTCCTTGAAGAGGACCCAGGTTCAGTTCCCACCATCCAAATGGTGGCTAACAACTGCCCATAACTTCGGTTCCTTCTGGCCTCCACAGGCATTGCACACACATAGGTGCCCTTATATACATACAGGGAAAACATTCATACACATAAAACACAAATAAATAATGCAAGCAAGCAGAGACTACCAGATTGGGTTTAAAAAAAGGTAAGTAACATCCAACCAAGCATAGCAGGACTCAGTCGTAATTCCAGCTACTTGACAGGCTGAGGCAGAGGATGGAAAGTTCAAGACTAGGTTGGGCAATTTAGGAAGACCAGGTTCAAAATGAGGCTTAAAAAAAGGAGGGGGTCTGGAGGGCTGGTAAGATGGCTGTCAGTAAAGACACTTGCCACCAAGTCTGACAACCTGAGTTTGATGCCTGGGTCCATATGGTGGAAGGAGAAAACTACCTCCTGCAAGTTGTCCTCTGACCTCCACACAGACACTGTGGCATGGAATCCCCCCTCCCCCACACAAATAAATATAATAAAAAACTTTTAAAGAGATGGGGGTCGGGGCTGGAGAGATGGCTCAGCATTTAAAAACACTGTTCTTGCAGAAGAATCCCAGCACCCACATGGCAGCTAACAACTGTCCGTAACTCCAGTTCCAGGGCCTCTTCTATCCTCCTCGGGCATTGCATGACAGGGGTGCACTCACCTATATGCAGGCATAACATTCATACACATAAAAGAAAAATAATATATAAAATATTCAAACAAAAATAAGAGATGGGGGTGAAACTCAATGGTAGAGTGCTTACTTATCCTGCATGAGGCCATGGGTTCAATTTTCAGAGCCACACACAAATAAATAAATGAATAAACAAATAAAATAACAAATGGCATTCAGCTATATGCTGTTTAAAGAAATATTGGATTGTATGTACACACACATATAATACTATGAATGAACTCTGATTCAGCTTACACATTTATTGCAAAGCCAAACACAATCTTCAAAGAGAGGTTCTTCCTTGACTCAGGGCTTACTGAACCTGAGAGCTAGTGGGCTTAGTGGGGGAAGGTATCTTGGGCAATTTGAAGTCTGTGGGCGTATTACAAATATCCCTTCATGCAGTTTCTCACAAAATGAGTTCCCTTCGGTCCTCAGGCGGATCTGGAGGAAGAGAGGATACGGCAGAAGATCGCGGAGAGGACCCCCGAAGAGACGATCCGCATTTACTCCTTGCGGCTGTTGCTCAACTGCGTCGTTCTGGCTGTGCTAGCCGTGTGCTTTTATGCCATCTACTTAGCAACCACCTTCTCCCAAGAGCACATGAAGAAAGTAAGTATCCTAGGAGAGTCAGCTTGACCTGTGCTATGGAGGTACCATGCCCAGTGCCTCACAAACCTGTGTGGTAAGAGCCATCACCATTTCTCTGTTCACATGGAGAAAAGTTTGGTTGGTAGGACAGAGAGCTGAATTCAGGTCATTGGTTTCCACTTGGAAGAGGAATTTTAGAAATCATTTAAAAAAGCGTCTGGGGATACCTATTTCTGGAATCACAATATTGAAATCTAGGCTGCCTGTGTTTATCTCTGATTCTATTACTTAATAACAAGGGCCTCGGTTTACCTTAAGAAGCAGTGGTTTTAAAAAATAATCCAAGTTGAAAGCCAAGGGTGGTGGTACACACCTGTAATCCCAGCACTCAGGAGGCTGAAACAGAAGGATCACAAATTCAAGGCTATCCTGAACTGCACAGTAATACCTTATTTAAATAAAAGTTGGGGGCCAGGATTGATGGCTCAGTGATTAAGAGCACTTGCTGCTCTTCTAGAAGACCCAGAGTTTGGTTTCTAGCACCCATATCAGGTAGCACCCATATCAGGAGTTACAACTGTCTGTAACTCCAGCTCCAGGGGCTCTGATGCCCTCTCCTGGCCTCTCCTGTATGCATATGGCATACACTAACACAGACACATACACATAAATTAAAAAATCTTTTAAAAAGTTAAAAATATGAAAAATAAAATAAAAGTTGGGCTGAAGAAATGGCTCAGTGGTTAAGAGCACTGATTGCTCTTGCAGAGGACAGGGGTTTGGTTCCCAGCACTCACAACTATCCTTAACTCCAGTTCCAGGGCATCTGGTGTCTACTTCTGGCCTCCACAAGCATTACATGCATGTGGTATACTTACATACATGCAGGCAGAACACTCATACATGTAAAATAAAAATAAATAAGAAAAAATTTGAATGTTCAAGTTGGTGTAATGACTTTCAAACATCAAGGGCCCAAATTCCATCCCTCTTATGGCCTGTCATCCATTCATAGACTGTGGCTCTCCTGTGTGGTACAAGGTTACTCTGCTGTATCACATTCTAGCCAAAGGGAAGATGATGGGGCGGGGCAGACTCATCTCTTCTCTTTAAGGATGAGGTGTAGAGCTTGACTTAAAACTTCTCCTATCTCTTTAACTGGAATGTAGTCACATGACTGTATCTAGCTACAAGGAAGGCTAAGAAATTTATCCTGGATAGCTACGTATATAGCTAAGTGATCCACTCCTGGGAAAGCAGAGAATGGCTATTATAAATGAACTGTAACTATGTGTTTGGAAGTACTTTGAATTGCCCATTCATACAGAATATATAGCTTACTTTAAATAAATTCAATGGCATTCATCTTTCTTCTATCATGGTATTAGGCATCTGTGTGCACATTTAAGAAAGGAGGTGGTGAGGCTGGAGGGATGGCTCAGCAGTTAAGAGCACTGGCTGTTCTTGCAGAGGTGTGAGGTTCAGTTCCCAGCACCCACATGGCAGCTAGCAACTGTCTATAGCTCCAGTTCCAGAGGATCTAACACCCTCTTCTGGCCTCCATAGGCACTGCACACAGGGACACACTCCCATACATGCAGGCAAAACACTCATCTACATAAAATAAAAATATAGCCGGGCATGGTGGCACACGCCTTTAATCCCAGCAGAGGCAGGCAGATCTCTATGAGTTCAAGGCCAGCCTGGTGGTCTGCATAGTGAGTTCCAGACAGCTGGGGCTACAGGGAGACCCTGTCTCAAAAAGACCAAAAATAAATTAAATAAATAAATAAATAAATAAAAATAAATAAATAAATAGGCAAACATATAAATAAATAAATAAATAAACAAACAAATAAATAAATAGGCATGGCTTACGTTTCTCAGCCACACTGGATAAGTGTTGTCTGTTTGCCCCGTGTGCACAGTTGAGTTCTTTTCAGTTCCATTTATTTATATCACCACTTCCCTGTTGTCCTTCTGACCAGTGCGTATGCTTTCTTCCCAGGAAATGGACAAGATGGTTTTTGGGGAGAACCTCTTGATTCTGTACCTCCCATCCATTGTGATCACACTGGCCAATTTCATCACCCCTATCATCTTCGCCAGGATCATCCACTACGAGGATTACTCCCCCGGCTTTGAGATACGCCTGACAATTCTTAGGTAACACCTAACTGCAGGCATGTCAGATAGACAATCACTTGTCCATGGCAGACATTGCTAATTAATTATGGCAGGTTTTCCTGCTGAGCTGAGATGACTCTTTGCAGTAAAGGGTCTTCAATGTCAGAGTCAGTACTATGCTTTTGATCACTGTATTTACCAAAGGCCTAGGGTGTGGTCCTAGGGGATAACTGCTCTAAAAATGCGAGAATTGTCAGGGCATATGGCAGAACCCAGTGAGTTCACACAAATGAGCAAAGATGGCTTTGTGTTTCTCAAATATGTGAGATTGAATATTTTGTTTGTTATTTTGAGACAGGGAGGGTCTCACTATGTAGTCACATGGCTAGGAAGGCTAAGGAATTTAGTTTTTATGCTGGATAGCTGTACACATGGCTAAGTGATTATGGAAGAAGAAGAGAGTGGTTATTACAAATCATGACTACATCCTTAATGGCTTCAACTGTAGATCCTCCTGCCTTAGCCACCTAAGTACGGGGACTGTAGATGTGACACCCCATACTGACTGCATCTGTATCTTTTCTAAAACAGGCAAAACATCATCAAAATTTCCATTTTGGAGATTTTCTTTTTAAATAATTTCCATTTTATTATTTTTAATTTTAAAAATAGTTTTCTTGACGGGTGTGGTGGCGCACGCCTTTAATCCCAGCACTCGGGAGGCAGAGGCAGGCGGATCTCTGTGAGTTCAAGGCCAGCCTGGTCTGCATAGCGAATTTCAGGTCACCTGGGGCTACAGGGAGACCTATCTCAAAAAGACCAAAAAAAATATTTTTCCTTTATTAATACTTGAGAATTTCATACACTGTATTTTGGTCACATTCATCTGCCCTTCCATAGTTTCTCCCAGACCCACCTTACACCTACCCACCACTGAAACAGTATTTTCTGAACAACAACAGGGCGGTTGCACTTACGCTTATGACAGCATGCATAAGACCCGAGCACACCCAAGCTGGACAAAATCCCAGCATGGAGTGTGGGGGGTGGGGTGGGCATGAAGTCCCACCCCCAGCTGAGGAGCAATTGGTAATTAATAGCTGCTGGGAGAGGAAGAGTCAGTTTCTCTAAGAGTGTGGCCCCTGGTAGGTCAGCCATGCGCAAGTGGATGACCATACACCCAACAGTATAGTCACAACACAAATCAGACTTCAATGGGCTTTTGAAAATGAGGATCACCAGGCATGGTGGCGCACGCCTTTAATCCCAGCACTTGGGAGGCAGAGGCAGGCAGATCTTTGTGAGTTCAAGGCCAGTCTGGTCTACATAGTGAGCTCCAGGACAGCTGAGGCTACAAGGAGACGCTGTCTCAAAAAGACAAAAAAACAAAACAAAAAAACTATTTTATTATTATTAGCACTTACTTGGACAAAATAATGAGTTTCATTATGATATTTTCATACATGTATATGGCATATCTCAATCATACTACTTCCTCTCAAACCCTCTTGTGTTGTGGCTCCCCCCCGACACTGAGGGGATGTTCAAGCCCTGAACACTCATTGGTTAGTTTCATACCTGACCTTTGGCCCATCTTATTTCACCTATTCTTGTTTCTGCTAGATTATATTAAGCAGCTCTGAGTAGCATGTCATTTACCTGTGAAGACTTGAAGGTCTCTTCGAGTGAGTAGGATTTGAGTTTAACATCATCACATTCCAAAATGGAGTGGCAGGTGGCTTCTTCAAATCAGAATCCATACATATCCACGTACTTAGTTTGATTACTAAATCTCTCTCTCTCTCTCTCTCTCTCTCTCTCTCTCTCTCTCTCTTTCTCTGGGGGCTCACTATATAGCTCAGGCTGGCCTTGAATGCTTCATCCTCCTGCCTCAGCCTCCTGACTGCTGGGGTTACAGGCTTGAACCACTCACTGTGACTGGCTTGCTTAAGTCTCTTACATCCACTTTATCTTATTTCAGTGCTGGGAATCAAACCTAAGGCCTTGTGTGTGCTGCACAAGTAATGTACCACTGACCTATATTTCTAATTCCTATTTTGTTCTTTTAGTATCTCTCCCCCACCACTGGTTTGAGGGGGAAGCTGAGCTTTGACTACAGAATGCCCCCTATCCTGAGCTGTTTCCTCCTGTGTATTCGTGTGTGTGCTTTTCTCCACCCACAGCTGCTGGTAACTACTGTGTAAAGCAGAATTTTTAGGTTCTTTTTCAGCAACTCATCCTGGAAAGCTCGTGTGTGGTCCCGTGTCCCTGCTTGTTGCATCCCCTTAGGAGCCATTTCTGTTGGCTGTGCGTGCTTCGTGCCCGGCTGTGCGTGCTTAGGGTGAGGAAAGGAAGCAGATGGTGGTGGATTGTTCTCACTCCCCTTTCTTTTTCTTTTTGAAACAGGTTTTACTATGTAGCCCAGGCTGTCCTTGATCTTGGTCCTCCAGCCTCAGCCTATCAAATATTGGGATTACAGATGTATGTATCTGACCCCCCCCATCTATTTTTAGGTTTCTCTTTATTTTTTATTATAAATTGAGCAATATAAAAAATTCAAAAAAAATTGTGAGGCGGGCAGGATCTCACTAATCTTAGCTGGCCTGGAACTCATTATGTAGACCAAGCTGGCCTGGAACTCAGAGCTCTGCCTGTCTCTGCCTCCTGAGTGCTGAGATTACAGGCTTATGCCACCATGCCTGGCTTAGAAAAGAATCTTAAAAAACAAAATTAGCACTGTCCTTTTGCTTTCCTTTATTGAAACTCCCTGGGTGGCCCATGGAACAGACTGTGTATTCATTCATTCATTCATTCATTCATCCAGCCAGCCAGCCAGCCAGCCATCAGCCCACAGAATTCCTGAGGTTTGAAACAACAGCATGTTTGTTTTTTTTTTTTGGTTCCAAAAAGAGGATCATATCACATGATGCTCTACTTTCCTTTGTTTCCAGCTAATACACAATTCAATTTATGTTTTTCAGGGATGTGTAGTATTATCATGTGACTGTCATGTTGCATTGTAACTGGGTTAGGAGTTGTCAGTATTCCGTCCCTCTCTCCCTCCCCTCCTTCCTTTCCTTTGAGATGGTCTCAGCTCTGCTGCCCAGTTTAGCCTCAGACTCAAGCCTCCTGAGTGCTAAGACCATAGATGTGCACTGTCACACCCGGATTTTTTTCTGCCTGAAAAAAAAAAAACTTGTAAGGGCTCCAGGTGACTTAGCAGTTAAGAGTGCTTGCTGCTCTTGCAGATCTTGAGTTCAGATCCCAGCATCCATGTTGGGTGGCTCACAACTCCCTATAACTCCAACTCCAAGGGATCCAACAGTCTTCTGGCCTCCACAGGTACCTGCACAGACATGCACATACTCACATTCAGATATACACATACACAAATAAAAAAAGCTTTTAAAAAACTTGTGATATATATAAAATGGCACTAAATGAATGAATACATAGTCTGTTCCATACACCCGGGCTGGCCTGGAACTTACTATGTAAGAACTCAGATCTGCCCGCCTCTGCCTTCCTAGTGCTGGGATTAAAGGCATATGCCACCATGCCCAGCTTCATTGGAACCATTTTAAAGTTTACAGTTCATTGGCCTTAAGTCTATCCCCCTGTAGTTTGTACAGCAGCTACCACCATCCACCTCCAGAACTTTCCTTAATCATCCCCTGTAGAAACTCTGCCTCTGTTCCAGTTGAATTTATTTGCAGGAAAGGCACCTCTGTGCTCCTTAGCATGAGGTCCAGGGGGAGATGGATGCTGATGCCTTCTCTTCCCCTCCCCCTTTCCCTGTAGATGCGTCTTTATGCGACTGGCCACCATCTGTGTATTGGTGTTCACACTGGGCTCCAAGATCACATCCTGTGATGACAACACATGTGAACTCTGCGGCTATAACCAGAAACTCTACCCGGTGAGTAGAGGCAACAGCCAGAGCCATGGGCTGGACTCCCAGGGGTGCGTCTCTCTGTAACGGTTCCTGCTGCAAGGCAGGTCTGGCCCCACTTGGGCATGGTCAAGGCCTTGGATGCTGAAGTCTGCTGGAGATGCAAAGGGTGTTGAGAGGCGGCCAGCTTCCTGTGCCTGGAATGGATCTGAGTGCACCTCTGGCCTTCCCTTTCAGTGCTGGGAGACTCAGGTCGGACAGGAAATGTACAAACTGATGATCTTCGACTTCATTATCATCCTGGCCATGACTCTCTTTGTGGATTTCCCTAGGAAGTAAGTGTGGGGACCCCTGTCACCCTACCCCTGACTGGAGGCTCCATTCACAGCTGCTCCCCACAAGCTCGACGTGGTGGAGGGGGGTGACTCCATAGTCACTGGGAAACTCAGATACCAGTGACTTGCAAATGCTCCAGGCTATTGACACCCTAGCCATCAGCCACGGCATCTTTAGGTGCTACCCCTGGTACCAGGTTGGAAATGACCACACTTCCCACTCAGCCTCCTGGGGTTGACGTCTAGCCAAGGCCTCACCAGTGCAAACACACTAGGGGCAGTGGATACCACGCTTCCTGATTCGAATTCAAATCTGCTTCTTGCTGGCCATGTGACATTACACAAGCTATTTAGCTGGGTAATAGCCATTGAATTTCTCACCTGAGACACAGAGCTCGTAGCAGGACCCACTCACAGCCTGGTTGTGAGAGTAAGCAAGGGGGCACAGAGCAGAGCAGAGAGCCCTCCACGGCAACGAAGTCAATGCAACACAACCGTCTCCATCGAGATTTTCATGACTGTTATCCCTGCTCTGTTTCAACATTTTCCTTAATTATCTCTTCACTTACCACATGTTCAAGGCACCCCGGTGTAGTGATGCAGGCCTGCCATCCCCGGCACTTGGGAGGCAGCCTGGGCAACTTAGCATGACTCTGTCTTAAAAACAAAAACAAAAACAAAACCCACAAAGAAAATCTCATGGAGATGATGCAGACATGAACTAGAGGCTCAGTGAGCCTAAAAATAAAATTAAAAAAGAAACTTTGGACTAGTGAGGTGGCACAGCAGGTAAAGGTGCTGGCCACAAATCCTGATGACCTGAGTTTGATCTCCAGGCTCCACATGATAGGAGAGAACTAAGTCCTGTAAGTTGTCCTCTGACCTCCACACACTCACTGTGGCATGGTGTGCACACACACACACACACACACACACAAATAATAAATGCAATTTTTAAATGAAAAAAATAAACTAAAAAGAAACTTTGGGCTGGAGAAATGGCTCAGTCAGGAAAGTGCCAGCTGGGCAAACAAGGGGACCTGAACTTGGATCCCAGCACCCCTATAACAGCCGGGTGTGCAGTGTGTGCATGTAATCCCAGCTCTGGGAGAGACAGGAGGATCCCTGGGGCTTACTGGCCAGCCAGTCTAGCCTAGTTGAGGAGATCCAGGTTCAGTGAGAGACTCTGTGTCAAAAATAAGGTGGATCGTGATTGAGAAAGATAGTAGCTCTCACACCCACCAGCAAAGGTGCTCACACACATACACATACAGACATATACAAACACAGAGGGACATCATACACATACATACATATACATATACATACGGACATCACACACACATGCACATACCATATACACACATACACATACCACACACACAAGACATAGTTGACATGAAGATGGCCTTGGTTTGGTGGGCGTGGTTCTATGTCCTCGGCAGGCACCTGTGGTCAGTTAGAAAACACCTGGTTTGTTTCCAGGCTCCTGGTGACTTACTGCTCCTCTTCAAAGCTGATCCAGTGCTGGGGGCAGCAGGAGTTCGCCATCCCAGACAATGTCCTGGGCATCGTGTATGGGCAGACCATCTGCTGGATCGGAGCCTTCTTCTCTCCACTGCTCCCTGCGATTGCCACCTTAAAATTTGTTGTTATCTTTTATGTGAAAGAGGTGAGGAGAGGTGGGGATGGTGCTGATAGCTGGACTGTTCTGTTTTGTTGTTTTAGTGATGGGGATAGGAACTCAGTGACTCCAACATACCAGGGAAGTTCTGTACCGCAGAGCTATGTCCCCAGTCATCATGGACCATCTTTCATCTTGCTAGGCACTCGTGTTTAAAGGCCATTCCAAATGAGATACATCATATTTATACACCCTTCCCCCCCAACCCAGGGCCTCATGCAATATTGCTTACTCATATAAATTATTCTAGGTAAAGACTTCAAATTTTCACTTTTTTTTTTTTTTGAGACAGGGTCTTGCTATGTAGCCCAGGCTGGCCTCAGCCTCATGATCTTCCTGCCACTGCTGCTTGAGTGCTGGGCTTTACAGGGTGTATATCATCATGCCTGGCACATTATTTTAATCTTGAGAATTATTTGGTTCCTATGATTTAAATGTAATGTTTACATATAACTAACTGAGTTAAGTCTCAGCAGTCAATGAAACGACAGTGATCTCTAACCCAGGATTTATTAATTTCTGATTGTAATCTTGGTTAGTATTTTGGAGTCAGTGCCCAGCTTTTCAGGACTTGGTGACCTGTGGAGGCCCCAGTGCAGCTCATAGTCCCCAGGCATGTGCAGAACTAAGTGCTGTATGTGTGAAGTAGCTCTGCAGGCCACTGGCTTGCCTGTACTTGTTAGCTTGTTTATTGTTACTTTAATAACATATACACAGTAATTTCCACCCCTTCTCCTGCAGTTATCCTTTGTTAATAAGCCTATCATTTATTTTGATTGGTTTTTTGTAGTGCTGGGAATTGAACCCAGGGCCTCAAGCATGCTAGGCAAGCACTCTGCCACTGAGCTACACATCCAGATCAAGCCAGTGTTTGACTAGTCCTGGGAATTAAAAAAAGGAAATACTAATAGCTGATGATAATAGTGATACTAGCAGATAATAATAACAGCATGTGCCCATAGTGCCCCGACTCCCCACAGATTATCCTGGGGTACCTGTCCCAGCTCTGGAGCTAGCATTTTATGTGGTGTGCTGCATGGAGTTCAGAGGGTTAACTGGTCCCAGGTCACACAGCTTGTGAGTGATCCCTGATTTTTTTTTTTATTTAAAAAATGTTTAAATTTAAAAATTGAAATTTTCAGTGTATTTTTTATTAATTCTTTTGAGAATTTCATCTACTGTATTTTTTGTTGAATTTTTGTGATTTTCACACAATATAGTTTGATGGGATCTCTGATTTTTTTTTTTTTTAATTTGTACAAGTGTTTTGATTGCCTGTGTTAGAGTGGTATATGTGTAGTGCCTGTAAAGATTGAAGCGACTATATTGGGCCTAAAGTTGAACCAAGGTCACCTGGAAGAATGGCAAATGCTCTTAACCCTGAGCCACCTTTCCAGGCCAGGAGCCCTGAATTTTGAACCAAGGTATAAATCAATCACTCCTGGGCCTCAGCTGCTCACTTGGTAAGGAGGGGCCTTGTACTAGACCAGGCTTTCTCCTGGATGCCTGGCTTTAGGACAAAATTCTGATGTCTTTCATTTGGAAACTTCACTTAGCTGATGTCATGAGAGGAGACAGGTCAGGACACAATCACAGGAAAACACTGTTGGCCAGGGATCTCCCGTGTGTGGTGTAGTAAGTAAGGCAAGGGTCATGACGTATGTCACAGGCATCAGCCTTTGCTTGGGACACTGACTCTAGCCTGACCCCACTGCCCACCCCCCAGATAAGACACAGCATGTTGCCTGGTACCCATATCATTCTGGCTCCTATGGAATTCAGAAGACTGCATGCCCCTACCCAGAAATGGAGGCTTTAAAAATATTTTTAAATATTTATTATTTTTTATGTGTATGGGTATATTGCCTGCATGTATGTAAATGCACACTGTTCATGCAATGCCCACAGAAGTCAAAAGAGGGCATCAGATCTCCTGGAACTGGTTATGGATAGTTGTTAGCCACCATGCGGATGCTGGGAATTGAACCTGGGTCTTCTGCAAGAGCAGTCAGTGTTCTTAACCACTCAGCCACTTCTCCAGCTCCGGAATGGAGGGTTTTTATTGGGAAATTGTATGCCTTTATTTTTATTTCTCAATTTTCCACTTGATATTTCCTTCAAGTCTTTTTTCTCTAAATGCAAATATTTATTTTTTTAAAAATATTTTATTTATTATTTTATGTGTATGTGTGTATTGCCTGCATGTAGGTAAGTGCAATGCCTGTGGAGGACAGAAGAGGCTGTCGGATCCCCTGGAACTGGAGTTACGAACAGTTGTTAGCTGCCATGTGGGTGCTGGGATTCATACCTGGGTCTTCTACAAGAACAACCAGTGTTCTTAACTGCTCAGCCATCTCTCCAGCCCATATTTATTTTTAATACCTAAGAAAAACCTATGCGCTTGTATTCAATCAAAATACCTAAGTTGGCATAGATTATTATAGATCCACTTACACATATTTAAAACCCTATGAATAATAAAATAGTACAACTTGAATGAGTTCATATCTACAGACACCTGAAATTTAGCATATGCCCTTCCACAGTACATATGGTATGTAACAGGCCTTTTAAAGGGCTGTATGGTAATCCATTGTATATAGTATTCCATTGTACTTCAAGGAATTCCCCTTGCTAGCTTTGTAGCTTGTTTCTAATTTATTTCCTGTATTGAACAGTTGTAGCAGTAAATATGCTTTGGTGCATTTTTCTCATCATACCATCAACATGAATCCCCTGGATCTGAAATCTGGGTGAAACATTTTTGGTCTGTGTAGTACTGTGCTCTGGGTCAGCCCCATTTCCATCACACCGTGACCCGTGCGTGTACTCACTGAGCCTTGACAGCAGCAGTACCCTAACACTCTTTCTCTTTCTTTTTCTTCATTTAGTTGAGTCTTCTTTACACCTGCAGACCCTCCCCAAGGCAGTTCAGAGCATCCAATTCTAACTTCTTCTTCCTGTTGGTGCTGTTGATTGGGCTGTGCTTGGCTATAATACCTCTGACAATCAGCATGTCACAGTAGGTATTGCTTTGTTTACTAGAACATTCCCTTGCTTTGTGATGTATAGCTCTTTGTGTTCAAGGGCCCAAAACATTCTTCCTTGGCTTTTCTGAAGTTTGCAGCCAAAGAGATGGCTTAGGGATTAAGAGCACTGACTGCTCTTGCAGAGGACCCAGGTTCAGTTCCCAGCACCCACGTGGCAGCCAACAGCTGTCTGTAAGTCCAGTTCCAGGGGCTCCAACACCCTCTTCTGACCTGTTCAGGCACTGTGCAACATAGGTGCACTTACATACATGCAGGCATTACACTCAAATAAAAATAATATTTTTTAAAAAATTTCAAAGAAAGCTATGACCTGAAGAGAAAACATTGTCAGCACATATAAAACTCTTATTCTATCTTGGTTTGAATTTGTTGAAACGGTCTTGCTATGTAGCCCAGGCTAGGCTCAAACTTGTGATTCTCCTGCCTCAGAGTCCTCAGTGCTAGAATTATAGGTGTATACCACCACACTTTGTGTGTGTGTGTGTGTGTGATTTAGCATGAACTTTTACCCCTACACACTTCAGCTTGCAGCTTCCAAGAACAAAAAATTCTCCTTTACTCGTTTATCTGCAGTAACATGGTCACCTGAGAAGCTCACACCAGGGGCTCGGGATCTGGCTCAGTGAGTAAGTGCTTGCTGAACAAGCATGAAGACCTGAGTTCAGATCCCCAGCAACCACATAAAAGCTGGGAAGGTGTTGCATGTCTGTAACCCTGAGTGTTGGGGACCAGGCAGAGACAGCTGGGGGTAGAGACAGGTGGATCATAGGGCCTCACTGACCAACCAGTCTAGTCAAAATGGCAAGCTCCAGGTCTCATGTTCACTGAGAAGCCCTGTTTCAAAAAAATATGGTGGAACCAACTGAGGAAGACAGCCAGTGTTGACCTCTGGCCTCCACACATGCACGCACACACACAAATTTCTCACTTGTCCCACAGGTTTTTTTTTCTAGTTTTTTTATTTTTTATTTTTTAATTGTTTTTAGACAGGGTCTCCATGTAGCTCCAGCTGACCTGGAATTCCTGACCCAATCTCACAGAGATGTGCCTGCCTCTGCCTCCTGAGTGCTGGGATTAAAGGCAAGCAATACCACACCCGACATTAATTCGAACATTACCCATTGCTTTCCATTGTTGCATCTTCTTAATCTTTGTCTTTGATTTTTTGAGGAGTCTAGGCAGTTTTCCCCACCTTTGAATCAAGAGACTAGGGAATGCATCCCCACACCCTACTTTTTCTGATTATTTCATTCAGAATCATTAAAATTGCTTTTCTGTCCTGAATGCCCTGTAAACTGAAGTCAGACCTAGAGATGTGATGGAATTTCATGGTCAGCATTTCTGACCAGGATATTCTAGAAATTTCCAGAGTTAAGCAGCTTCCTGTAGGCCATTATAAAGAGACATTCTGAGCTTGCCAAGGTGAGCCCCTCGGCCTGCACTGAGAACCTCACTCTGAGCCCCTTGCTCTTTGCCCTGCAGCATCCCTTCCTCGAAAGCTTGTGGACCATTCACCAATTTTAACACCACCTGGGAGGTCATTCCACAGACGGTGAGCACTTTCCCCAGCTCACTGCAGACCCTGATCCACGGCATGACGTCGGAAGCCTTTGCAGTGCCTTTCTTCATGATCATCTGGTGAGCAAGAGCCGTCCCAACTCCACCAGTATTTCCCATTGAGCCATATGGGGCCTCCCACTTGGGAAATGGAGGATGTGTATTAGTACGCCTTCTGCCGCTGAGACAAAATACCCAAGAGAGAATAACTTAAAAGGAAGAAAGGTTTATTCTGGCTTGGGGTTTCAGAGGCTTCTGTTGTGACCCAGTAAATCACAGTGGGAACACATGATGCAGGAAGCCTGTCGGTTCCGGTTCCGACATCCTCTTCCAGGACACGCCCCCTACCTCCTAAAGGATTCAGCATCCCTCCACAGCGCCACCTGCTGGGGGCCATGCTGTAGCACATGAGCCTTTGGAGGGCATTGCTAATCGAAGCCATAGAGCCTCTCTAAGCTTCATTTCCTTTCGTTCAGAGGGATGCTGAGCAAACTCAGATTACGCATGAGCCCCATGTGGCCTACTCCTGACAGGCGTTTTCCCTAAATTTCACCCTTTAGTGAGAAAAATGAGTTGGTTGGCAGACAGAAGACCACAGCCAGGAACTTGCATTTGACCCCTTGTTCTGCCGTGTCTAAGCCATGGGTAACAATTGTCAGAAATAAAATCCAAGGTCCAAGGAAGGACCTCATCAATACACAAAGAACACTCCAACAAAGTGAAATAACTTGGCAAGGCAGATTTTTCTTTTGCAAAAGGCTGTATTGCATGGCTGGTCTGATCCAGCAAGTACACACGGGACCGGGAAGCTTGGGAGCTTTTATATCTAGCAAGAGAGCTGTGGCCTTTCCCCATTGGCTGGGGTCTGATCTGACAGTCTTTCCTGGTTGGCTAGTTTAAAAGAATCAGTGCAAAGGGAGAAGAGCTGTACTAGGCCACACCACCAGGCTCAGGAATGCATCAGGACCTTTCCTTAAAGGCTGTGGTGTGATTAAAAAGATTGGAATTTCTTGTCATACACCAAGTCCCAAGTTTTACAGAGTTTGAAAGAAAAGACTAATATCTACTTTTTCTTACTTTTTTTTCTTTTTGAGACAGGGTCTCCCTGTAGCGCCAGCTGTCCTGAAACTCACTATGTAGACCAGGCTGGCCTCAAACTCACAGAGATCTGCCTGCCTCTGCCTCCCAAGTGCTGAGATCAAAGGTGTGCACACCATACCTGGCCTATCTTCTTTGTTCTAACTCCCAAAATCACACTGATCCTGTGATACACAGATACTAGCCCCGTGAGAGCCCACTCTAATGTAAGAAGTAGGTTTTTTTAAAAAAACACATGTAAAGGAATCCTAGTTCCTTGTTGAGATGAATGAAATGACTGAGGAATGATGGGCAGCTAGCAGGAATTCACAAGAGGCTGTGTATTAGCTCTGAGGGGCTAAGGGTTCCCCCAGCTATGGTTTGGCCAGAGCCCCCTGGTGCTGAGCATCTGCTCTGACTTGACTGTTCTTGGCCTGTGGCTCACAGAGACTTCTAGAATTCTGCTGCTTTCAGTGATTGCAGGATCTCCTGGTAACCTGTTCCTCATTTTATCAGTCCTGTGTGGAGACACCCGACAGGAAACAGTCTTTCCTCAACGAGACTGTGTGCTTCTTCCTTGGGCTCACCCTTCGTACCACCCGATATTCCCATGTGCTATCCTGGGCTGCAGAAAAGCCAGGAGCTGACTCTTCGTCGCTTTTAATTAAAACTTTGAGTTTTACCACTGGGTTTTCCTGTATTATTTCCACTTCACAGATGAGGAAGTCAAGGCCAGAGAGCCCAGCCAGTTCCCCCAGCTAGTCGCTGACACTCTGAGCTGACTCTGCACTCTCCCTCTTCTCGCCTTATCATTCTGTCCACACCAGGGGTGCAGCAACAACTTTTCTTATTATCTTAGAAAGTTATAGACATAAATTAGAGCCCACTGATGCCACCTTTCTCACATGCCGTCTGCTTGGGAGACATGAAGACTTGTTTGCCTATTTTTTCTCTAGCAAAAGAAAACTTAGTCCAGATGGACTGTGTTGTGTTGTGTTGTGTAGTGGCCTGCAGGTGACACAGGCTCCCCTGTGAATGGTGGGTGGTTTTTGGTGTCCGCAGGTGACACATGCTCCCTTATGAACTGTCTGTCCTATTTTCAGCCTCGTCATGTTCTACTTCATCGCCCTGGCTGGAGCACACAAGCGAGTAGTCGTCCAGCTCCGAGAGCAACTGTCCCTGGTATGGAAGCACAAGCCCAGAGGGTCATTAAACCAGGATTCTGGGCATGGTAGTATATGCCTGTAATCCTAGTACTAAGGAGGCTAAGGCAGGAGGACTGAGTTCCTGGTCAGCCTGGGTTGCATAGCAAGACTTTACCTCAAGAAAGAAAAGGGGAAGGCGGGGGGGGGGGGCAGGGAGGGACAATTAAAGATGGCACTATAAGGAAGGGGAATTTTCCCAGGGAGGGAATTCCACAGTCCCTACTAACCACTCTGCTCTACAAATCTGCCTTCAGGCCCAGCTCTCTCTAGCTTCATTCATTTTCCTGATTTGTCCATTCTTACACTCGGAGAAAAAAGTCAGTAAATAGTTAAAGAAATAAGATCCGTTTGGGCTGGGGCAATAGATCAGCTGGTAAAGCGCTTGCCATACCAGCATGAGGACCTGCTTCCAGCCCCAGAACTCATGTAGAAGGCCGAGCATGGTCTTGTAGATGTGTAATCCCAGTGCTGGGAAGGCAAAGGCAGGGGGAACTGCTGCTTGCTGGCAAGCCAGCCCAGCCCAGTTGGCAAGCCCTAGATCCCAGTGAGAGAGCCTGTCTCAAAGAACAACGTGGAAGGCTCCTGAGCAGTGATACCCAAGGTTGACCTTTGGCTTCTGTGTATAAACACATATATTTGTACCCCCACCAACATGTACAGAACCTTCACACATACACAAAAAATAAGCCCCAAAACTATAACTTCTATGAAGATCATAAAAACCAAGATACTTGGAGTACTGGACAGGCCTGCACTACCGTGGACAGTGGCTGTGGAAGCCCTGTTGAAGGACATGACATCAGAGCCAAGACAGGATGGACAATAGCAGTCAGTTATTGGAGGTTTTGATGAGGGGTGCAAGGGTACAGTGAGGCACTTTGGGGAGTCAGGGGAACAGGAATAGAGGGCCATGATGGGTGAAGAGGGGCAAGATCAGGCTCTGACATCAGCCATTAGTCACAAGGTCATCTGGCTGATCTGATAGGAGATTTGGGTTTTATTCTGAGTGTTGGGGTTAAGAAGTCATTCATATATATATATATATTTGTCTTCTATCTGTCTGAGACAGGGTTTCTTATAGCCCAGGGTATCCTCAAAGTCCATAAGTAGTCAAGGATGACCTTGAACTTTTGATCCTCCTGCCTTCACCTCCTAAGGGCTGAGATTACAGGCAGTGCCACCACTTGATTTATGTTTAGGCTGGGGATGGAACCCAGGGCTGCTTTTGTACCAGGCTCTACCAATTCACCTTCATCCCTAGCCCCCAATGTACCTTTCTAAAAGATCTCCAGCTACACTGTGGACAAGGGGCTGTGGTGGGGACACCAGCGAGGGAGACAAACCAGACTGGAGGTCACTGCCGTAATCTGGTGGCTGGAATCCTTAGCTCTCAGACTGAGAGATGACACTTCTGTGAGGTAGAAATAACTGTATTTCCAAATACATGAGATGGATTTTCACCTTTATCTCTTTTTAGGAGAGTCGCGACAAGCGCTATCTCATCCAGAAACTAACAGAAGCCCAGAGGGATGTACAGAGCCAGTCTGATTGAGCAGGAAGGTGCAATCTGTTGCTTACTGAGACCACATGACCCTGCTACACCTGTAACGTCCACCTGGGTTTTGAGTGGAAGTTCTTCTGGACTTTAGGGCTTTTCCTCATAGGAACTAGCCATGTTTACATGATTTATCCCTTAGCCAGGACTTTGAATGACAGCAAAGTGGACCTCAATCCAGGTCTCTACCAAAAAAAACCCCAAAAAACCCTTGTTGGTTTTTAAGCTTTATAACCAAAGTCAGGGAGCAGAGACTTTTGTTTTCATTTATTAGACTTGTATTTTTTAAAGCTTATCTGTTTTGTCTTTCAAAGTAAATCAGAGTTCACCCATCCCTGAGACTGGGTGATTTCTTTGGAACCTGTTTCCATGCTAAGTGACCCTCTTGAACGTTCCTAGTGACTTAAAATGAAATCTGATACTATTTAAAATGATGAGAAATCTTTGAAGTCTAAGGACTGGAACAGCTGGTAGAAATGAGGTGAGGTTGCCATGGCAGCAGAAAGAAGAGTCAGTCCCCTATGTGGCTGAGCTACCCTTGACTTCTCGCCTTGGTCAAGCCTTTTGAGCAGGGCAACTTGGCAGGTTGCAGCCTTGACTTCTCAGCTTTCTAGATATTTTCTGCAGTCTCATTCACTCCTCGGGGGAAATGTTCTTTAGCAGGCTGGTTATCCACTGGCCTTTCATTTCTACCTGGTCCCAAGATCTGAGACTTAGTAGACAAAACTATAGATGGTTAAAAACTCGAGAGGCAGGCTGGAGAGATGGCTCTGTGGTTAAGAACACTTGCTGTTCTTCCAGAGGACCAGGGTTCAATTCCCAGCACCCACACTGCAGCTAACAACCACGGGTAACTCTACTTCCAGGGGATCTGACACCTACCTCTTCTAGCCTCTGCAGGGCATTGCATGACACAGGTGCACTTACATACATGCAGGCAAAACACATACATAAAAAATAAAAGGTGTGGTGGCCAATGCCTTTAATCCCAGTACTCGGGAGGCAGAGGAAGGTAGATCTCTGAGTTTGGAATCAGCCTGGTCTACATAGTGAGTTCCAGGCCAGCTGGGGTCACAGGGAGACCCTGCCATAAAAAAAGAAAAAGAAAAAAAAAAAAAAACTTGAGAGGCAAACAGCCCCTCTCAGTCTTCCAAATCCCATTTTTCTTCCTTGCACCGAGCTCTCCTTTTCTGAAGGACTCCAATTTCAGAGCCAGACTGGAAAGGACTGGTTAGTATCAGAACCATGGGAAAGATGGGAGGGTTTTAGATGCTTGCTAGGGGATGTGAGTTCATAGCTCAGCCTGGTCATCAGAGAACAGCCAGTGATAACCAAACTAGATTGGGTTCTAATTTCTTTGGGGGGGGGTGTTCTGATTTGTTAAATACACATTTCCACATTTCAAAGGGCTAGGCCTTGTTTTCTTGCACTTAAGACTTTGAGTGCCCGCGCCTCTGTTTTTACAAAAACAGTATCTCGTAAGAGCTCTACTACATTAAAACCATATTCAGTAAATACCTCATCAGCTTTCCCAGAGTCGATGGTTTGTAAACCTTTTAATACAAGTTACTGTTCTGTGTAATGTGTTTTCATTTTTAGAGCTAACATCTTTGTCAGAGGGCCGCAGTTTTGTAATGGATGGTTTGAGCCTTCCTTTGTTTTTCTTTTCATTTGGCTTCAAACCCTTCCAGACATTTAAAGTCAGATTCAGGTTTTAGAAAGCTGCTACTAAGAATAATTTCTACCCACTCTTGACCACTGCTTCATTTCTGGAAGCAAAGTGAGCTTGCTGTGGCTTATACTCTGTGCGTATATAAAAGAGTGTGTGTGTGTGTGTGTGTGTGTGTGTTTTGCTGGAGATGGAACTCAGGTCATCATCCCAATACAACCATTCCTCCTCCCTTTCATGAGGTGGTATTAACATGGAATATTTTGTACCTGTGAGAGCAATGTACTTGTTGCTCAGATGTCTTAATTTTCAGCACAGGTGCTAAGAACACGGGTAGAATGAACAAGCTCTTCAACAAATGGTGTTGGAAAGACAGCACACTCATATGCAAATGAATAACAATGAATTTTTATCTCAGCCCCAATTCAAGAATAATCTCAAAGAAGATTATTAAAGTCTTAAAAATGAAGTCTGAAATTGTAAATTTACTAGAATAAAATATAAGGGTAAAGCTTCACCCAGTCCTTTGCTGTATTAAGAGTTATGCCTTTTAAACTCCAACAACTGGAATTTTGAGTTACCCAAAGTTCATTGCAGCCTCATTTTAAAAACAAATTCCAATTGTTGACATTTTTGCTTGGTGCCTTTATAGATATAATATTCTTGACTCTCCTGAGGACCATCCATTTTTCTGTTTGCATGTATGTATGGTGGATACAATGAATGTTGCTTTCTTTGCTATAAAAGAGATACCGAAATATGCTAATTAATGTGTTAATGTTGGTTAATACTGATAATTTGCATACCTTTTACTTGAATGTTTTTATGTATTTTGACAACTTTAATAAGCAGGCAATGTCTGCATAATTTTTAAAGTGCAGCTTTCTAACAAACATGCATTCAACTACCGATTAAACACTGTCTTGAAAGTTTTAAACTGAGTGTGTGTGATTGAACCCATAGAAGCATCTTATCAATAATCAAATGACATGGAAAATTAGAACACTCTAAAAGTAGCTCTTTGCTTTATCCTGAATTAGAGAAAAAAGTATTTTGACATCTGGAAAATGCTGTAGAGTGCTTTACTGCATCTTGCCTTTGTTGAAGCCAAGGAGAAGCAAATTCGTGCATTTCAAACTTCAGAAACAGGTTATTTTAAGCATTCTCCATGCTGATACCAGAGAAAATCACTACTATTTATTCTTCCAGAAGAATGTGTCACATACTGAAGTGGAGACATATGTATGTGGTATTGTGAAGCATGCATTCCTGGATTTCTCCTGAATAACATCTTGAAGCTCTTTCTATATAAGCAGCACCTCCTTTTTAATGGCTGCATAGCGTTCTGTTGCTTTGACACACATTTTCTACAACTATGCACCCACTAATGGGCACTTGCTTTGCTGTTCTTCCCCCATTACAAATACTTCACTGGATTTTTTTTTCTTTTCCTTTTTCCTAATTCTTTTCTTTTTCACACTGTCCTAGGAGTCAGTTCTCTGCTTTCACCACGTGGACCTAGGGTGGGGCAGGGGGGTTGAACACAAACCATTGGGATCAGGATTGGCAGCCATTGCCTTTATCCATTCATCTTGCTGGCCCTACAAATTGGAATTTTATTTTTTAATTCATATATATATATTTTGGGTGGGGGTCTTTTTGAGACAGGGTCTCCCTCTAGCCCCAACTGGCCTGGAACTCACAGAGATCCACCTGCCTCTGCCTCCCAAATGCTAGTATTAAAGACATGAGCCACTATGCCCTGAGCCACTACACCCCAAAAGTTGGAATTTTAAAAGCCCTGCAAATTTTGCCCTATTCTGCAGTAGGCCCCTATTATTTTTTTCAGAATTCAATTAAACAAGTTTGTTTTTTTTTTTTAGTTTACATTACCTGTTAAACTGGCAAAGTATATTCAATCCTCTCCCCCACCCCCCGACACACATTCAGAATCTACCTGTAGCCTCAGCTGGCCTTGAACTCACTATGGAGACCAGACTGATCTTACAGAGATCTGCCTGCTTTTGCCTACTGAGTGCTGGGATTAAAGGTGTCCACCACCACTCCAGGCTCCAAAATAAATTCTTATAGCTACAAATCTGATGGCAGATAGCCATTTATATTATTTGAAAACAAATTAATTCCAGGGTGGCACTACGAGGTCTGGCCCTCGGGAACTGGGAATCTCTGAATGTCTTTATTCTGTAGTGTGGGGCTTTACCAGTAGCTTCTGCTGGTATGTTCTCTGTCCAGTGCATGGGATGTGCTTGGGACATGACATGCTGGGCACCTTGCTTAACTATATGATTATGTACAAATATCTTCCCCCCTGAGATGGTTCCTTTATGTTTAAAACATAAAAATAATACATAAATTTTCTTTTATTTCAGAATTGGATTAGGGAGTAACATGCTTTTGTTTGTCTTTTGGAAATTTAAAGGTACTTGCTTCCCACAGAAAAGTATGGAGACCATCAAAAGCTACCAAGAAAAACATATTTTCTTATTTTATCAAAAGTTCTTTAATAGCCCAGTGTGATGACCTATAATCTCAGCATTCATGAAGATGAGGCAGGGGAATCATGAGATTGAGGGAAGCCTGAGCTACATAAAAAGACCCAGTCTTTTAAAATAATGTTCCTATATACATTTCAGTGAGCTACATAACAGTGTGGACATGACAGTTTTAGCCCTTTTTTGAGTTAACATTCTATTTCCTGATTTTTTTCCAATAAAACCTAGGCCATCACAAATCTTTCAAAAGATTTTTTTCCCTCTTTATGACAGAGATCTTTACGAAGTGAGATACAGGGCAAAGGTTTTGAAAGGTGTTAAGGCTTCTGGGCGCCAGATTTAAACTGAGTAGCTTTACACAAGAATGCTACATTACCCTCACATTCACTAATATTACGTATTGGGTTCAGCTCAATTTTAAATTGTAGAGTGTTAATTTGAACACTGGAGTTATACAAAACAACTAGTAATTTGAACTATTTTACAATAGTTGTGCATCTTGAAATCTTTTATGGTAAACTTGAGGAAGTATATATAAATAAAGCAAGGATGTAATCTGAAAGCTCCCTTCTCAAAGTCTTAGCCCTTGATGGTCCCTACATTAAATGCTTTGTTGCATATCCTTGCAGGCATGTAGTTTTAGATTTTTCTTTTTTTATTCACTGGCTATGGTGGCACATGCCGTAATCTCAGGAGGGAGAGGCAGGCAGATCTCTGAGGCCAGCCTGGTCTACATAGAGAGTACCAGACCAGCCAGGGTTATATAAGGAGACACTCAAAAAAAAAAAAAAAAAAAAAAAAAAAAAAAAAA